AAGGAAGGGTCTGATGAGGATGTAGACATCATGACAAGTGATGATGACAAAGAACCCAAGCACAACTTTCAAGCGTTGGAACCCGTGCTATCCTCTTTACCCCACGAAGATAGGGCTGGGCAGGATGAATTTGGTGACAAACAGGAGGAACATAATTCTAATGTACTTTACAGACAGAAAGATTTGCCTAATGATGGCCAGGACATTGAAACAGATGTGAATGAAGAACGTGGAGAACTCGTGGGAGATGTAAATCGCATTTCACCTAATCAGAAGGAGCTTCTAGACAGACAGAATTTTATTGGAAGTTTGTTTGATGAAAGAGAAGCGATGTTCGAGGGCAGCTTTAGACGCGAACAGTCAGGCAGCTCTGACAGGATTGCCCATAGATCTAGAAGGGGAAATAATCTGCAGCACTCTGATGTCAAACGGGATCGAGTCAAAAGGTCAAAAGTGGGAGGGTTGGCTCAACCTTCAAGTCCTGGGGGCAACTTTCCTCAGCATATGAGCCCTCCAATTTTATCCCCTGGTAGGCCAACAGACGATCCGTTCAAGAGCCCTGTCCCCATTGATGGAACTGACAGGGATTTGATGGCCAATCCTGGCTTTCAAAAGGCACCGAGCCAGACATTTCCTGGAAAATCCACTTTGCATTCACAGCAAACAGGACGCAGGTCATCTGATCAAGGTCTTCGTGGATCGACCCACAATACTCCAAGAAGACCCAACAAACGTTCTGAGAGCTTGGACCACGATCAAAGGTTCTCGGATAAGAGTTCCACCGTGCAAGAAGGGCTTACATTGCAAAAAGATAAATCTGGTAAAGATGCTCATTCTGAAGGTTTCACTCCCGAGAAGGTGTCAAAAGGTATGAAGGATGGTCTAAGTGGAGGCAAACATTCTTTGTCCGCTGGCTCTCTACATGGTGAGACAATAGGAAAGCCAAAGGACATTGAACAGAATTTAAAGTTGCACACAGGATCCTTTGGCAAGGATCCTGGTAGAAGTTTTAGCGACAGATCCTCTCCAGCTAATGTAAGAGGTGCCACGCTCCAAAGGGAGCTTTCAGACTTGGAGTTGGGTGAATTGCGTGAACCAGTGCCAGAGGAGGCACCTGTGAAGAAGCAATTTGAGAGGAAAGGTTCGTTTAAGCAGCCTGAAACCAAATCGACCAATTTAGATAGCTGGAAAACAGACTTAGGTAGAGGAAAACCTCCTGGAATGTCATCTGCAGACTCGGGAAAGCTATCTCCGTCCAATTCAAGTGCCAGAATGTCAAAAAGTTCTGAGGGCTTCTCCAGGAAAAGATCCCGAGATGATGAATTGGCAACATTCATCCCACAAGTTTCACAATCTCAGTTGCAACAGCCCTCAAAGATAGATCATGCAGAAATTGCTGTACCATTGAGTAAAGCGTCGGATGTAAGCAAACCCAGAAGGAATGAAACGGGAGAAAGCCAAGGTACTGTTTTAGAAGAATTTGGAAAAAGTCAAAAAGTAGCATCAGCTAATGGGTCGCAACAGCCTGATAAAAAAAAGGGGCAAGTTTCTCACTTATCAAGAGAAAGTAAAATACAAGCATCCAATACAGTGGGAAGCATGATGAATGGACAGAAGGACGTCATTTCAGCTCATAATGGTGGCCAGAAAAGGAGAGAATCGTCTTCTGATGAAAGTAGTTGTTCTTACTCAAAGTATGAGAAGGATGAACCGGAGCTCAAGGGGCAAATAAAAGATTACGCTCAGTAAGTTTCTGTTTTAGTACTTTGACAAGTTTTTCTTTTCCCTTTTCTTTTTGCCAAATGTTGATTATTCGTATCCTCCCATAAAGAATTGGACTTATTATTTGGTAATTAACTCAAGTTTTTGCCTTATGTTAGGTACAAAGAATATGTGGAGGAGTTTCGTGACAAATATGATAGTTATTGTTCGTTAAACAAGATACTGGAGAACTACAGGTGTTTTGATAAATCCTGTTCATACTTGTGTACTGTTTTCCGATTTCTTTTGCTCACTTACCTTATAAGAAAACCTAATACCTGTTTCATGTAGGAATGAGTTCCAGAAAATGGGAAAGGACCTTGAGTTTGCGAGAGGGAGGGAGATGGAGAGATACAATAACATTTTGGCACAGTTGAAGGATTCCTACCGGCGATGTGGAGCGGTATGATCTGATCTGGCTTTCATGTTGATTTTGGCACTTGATCTTTTGTCTTCACTGCCAAGAAATACTGTCTTCTCTTTGCTGTGATTTACTCTTTTCATTGTAACCACCTTAATTTATTTGTTCTGTGATTGTTCTTCACTTTGACTTGGTAAACAGTTTCGTGGTTGTTGAATGATGTCATTTTGGCTTGCATCGCCTTGTAAATTCAAACAATGCTAGTGCCTGAGCTTCCAACATCCAACTTCATTACGTGACTTGGGGCATGATCATACATATAAAATCAGCATGTAATGGGTGAATTCTGGAATTGCTGGTCTATGAATGATGTTTTGGCCTTGTGGCAGCTGTCCTCTTCGTGTTTGAGTTATGATTTACTTAATACTTTCTCTTCTCTTTCTATTCTTTAGCTAATCTCTTCTCATGCATGTGCCAAAGTTTGTAAGATTGTTTTTTTTATGTTGTATGGATTCGTAGGAGCATAGAGGAAAATATACTATTTCTCCACTATATTACATTGTTTTTGTGATTTCATCATTTTTAACTCACATTGTCTTCACCTGCAGCGACACAAGAGGCTAAAGAAAATATTTATTGTGCTTCATGAAGAACTGAAGGTGATATTTTCATAACATTAGAAACTTAAGTTCATGACGCTAGTGAAAGCCTTCTCTAGTCACGCACATTTGGTTTGTCATTGTGAAATGGATTATGTTGGTTACTCTTTTCTTTGGAATCTTGCAGCACCTTAAGGAGATGATTAAAGATTTTGCAAGCGCATACTCTAAAGAATGAAAACGTCCGATAATGCCTATTGCCTTCTCTCGTGTCAGAAATTCACAGACTCCTTTCTCGACGCACTTTGTCAGCCATCAAATTATGCGCATTTGGTGAGAGATTTGTGACATCAGTGGCTCCTGCATATACCTGATACTGAGATCCATCTGCCTTGCATCTCGGGAGGAATTTTTCTTTGGCTGGGATAGAATCTTCTCCCAGTGCCAATTCTATTTGGGGGAGATAGGAGGTGGATCGACTTCACAATTTTGCATTCGGCACTTCAAGTGGCGAGGTTGACTTGAAGGAAGGCTGTAGCTGAAACTAGCTTGCACACACATGTAAAGGTTGAATCTGCTCCACCCCCCTCTCGGCCAAAGCTCTGTTGTTGGTTCTCCCATCATTGTGCATAAACTAGATTCTCAAATTTATTGTATCACCAATTTTGTTAGGCAGTTGTTTTCGCCTTCTCTTCCTCTTCGCTGCCATAGGTAAGGGGAAGAACGGAATTGTAATTAATTTTTTTGTTGATATATACATGTAAAATGATTTATTCAGTTCCAATTTTCTCTGTGATCTTGCTGGCCTAGTCAATATATGAGTAGGAGATTGAAGAAGTCCGGTTGCCTTGAGATTCGTCTCAATGATTGTGAGATCAGTGTATGTTGTCCTTTTCTTTTTCTGCTGTTATTTGGTCTCGAACCTAGCTCGTCGCTCCCCACCCCCACACCGGACACTCCTAATGGGCCGATGCATAGTGGTGTTATCTTTTGACGCCATTGTTGGCGTAGGCCGATGACGCACCGGGTGTTCAAGGAATAGCAATTCCAACTGCCAAACAAGGTAAGGCCATCTTACTTCTCCAGAACAAGCTCCTTAGTTCTACACACTGGGCTATTTTGGGTTGCCACTCATGTGAAACCAGCAAAAGAACTTTAGTCCAAGAGCCATTTCATCACGAGAACCAAACCATCTCAATGGGTCTTTAGCTGTTTTTGCTTTATTGCTGCAGGATACTTCAAATTCTATTCTTGCTCTATTCTCCCTGGTGCACCAAATGACCCTGCAGAAATGACCCTGCAGTTCCGCATTTCCGGTGTCATGATATTTGATCAATTTGTCATCTGATTACCATTGCGTGCTTCGACTGTTGGCAAAATATGGGGCAATCATAATGGTGATGGTCCTCCTTGCATGCTTGAATCATTTCGGGTTTCATCACATTTTCCAGCTTAGAACATTGCTTTCTGGGGTCAGCACTGTTGAATTTCCTCATCCTTTTAATCTGGTCAGCTTTACAATATATGTTTTAATTGGTCAACATCCTTTTTAGGACATGCAGATAAAGATTCGGCACCATCAAGTAGGCCTCTGCTCGTTTTGCAACAAAAGTAACTGCAGAAAAAGCTATTTTTCTCTTCTTCTTTTTTTCCAAGTAAATAGAGATATACACTTTTGCCCCCGTGAAATATATTCCTATATTCCGACCCAAAAAAAAATATTTCCTATATTATGTTTATCCATAGAAATTTAATTTGCGCCTCGTCATCCCTTTGTCTCAAATTCTTATTACCATTTTATTCCGTTCTTGAATTTTCTTTTATAGGCGAAAAAAGCCCGAGGAGGGACCACCAGGGCCGCTTTCTTTCTTTCTTCTTTTTTTTTTTTTTCGTGTCATGTCCTTCGATAGGATCACGAATCGCTTGGCCAGGCCAAATGGCATGGAAACCAATTCGGACGGACCTCGGTGAAAATGGGCATTTAGTTCGGAATTCTGAAACAATTTGCTCTCTCGGATCTCACTCGATCCAATTTGGATCGAAACTTATGAAGCGATTTACATGCTAAATCACAATAGGTTGCGACAAGTAGTTAGGCCCGTGTCCCCCAGTGTCGTTCACGTCCGACGATTGATCGCCTCTAGTCTTTAGCTTTAGTTCACCGTACCATTATAAGTCGAGTACTTCATAAGTAACTGCCGTCTTGTCTTTTGTTTAGATTGAGGTAAAAAGAAACAGGAGTCCCCCAAAACCAAAAACCAAAGAAAAAAAAAAAAAGAAGAAAAGAAGAAGGAGAAGAAGGAGAAGAAAGCAAGCAGCGTCTCTCTCTCTCTCTCTCTCTCTCTATCTCCGCTCGCTTCTGGTTCTGCTTCCATAATTGCCCGCCGGAGAATCGGGAGCCGGAATCCAATCGGCACTCCTTCTCCCCGCCGCCGGTCGCGTGACGGAGGAAGCTCCCCACACCCCACCACCCCCCGACGACGGCTGGAGGGAGACGAGACGGGGCGGAGGAATTTCCGAGCTGACACACTGCTGGCTGCGGCGGTTGCGACTTAGGGCTGCTGTGACGCCAGTCCCGGAGGTACCCGATTGGTGTGGGGGCCTCGCGTTCCTCTCTCTAGCTTTTGTGCTGCCCTGCTTCGCGGGACGCTCGAGAATTGCGCCAGGTGATGTTTCGAAGTGCGCTGCGTTCTTCTTTTTTCCTTTTTCGTTTGTTTGTGTCGCTGTGTTCGGGTTTTGCGAGCTGTGCGGATAGTGCTTGCGGGGGGAGTGGTGATTGTTTGCTTCTGACGAGTTTGAAGTTCTGAGGGCGTGGAAATTGACGTGAATTTTGGGTTTTTGGGGAGCCGGTGTTGGTGATGAATTTGGAACTTGATATCGTGAAATTTACCATCTTGACTGCTGCGTAGATGGGTATGCGTTTCTTGTGACCTGTAAAGGCGGCGAATTTAAGCTGCTTGTGTTACGAGGAGTAGCTTCGTAGCTGGTTCGATGTTCGGGGTTGATTGGTGGACCTAAAAGTGGCCCTTGGTAGGCTCGAGAAGATGGCGGTGGCGCGTTCTGGGGGCCATGAGATTTTGAGTTGAGCAGGGAATGTTTCCTTTTGAATGTGCATTTGTTTGGTAGTTGTTTTCTTGTGAAGGTGCTGGCTTGTTTTGGGGCATATATCTTTGAGTAGCTTCTGTAGTCTTTTCTTTCTCAATAGGTAATGGCACTTCGTTGGAAATAAAACGTGGTACGTATGAGTATCGAAGAAGTATGATGAGCATAGGAAAAGGTATAGAGGTGCCATGCAAAGTAATGCACCTCAGGTCCTCACGTTCTGGTATATATCATCATCTTATTCGATGAGTGAGGATATGGCAGATTGGAAAGGAACATGATGAGATCACATGTTGTGCTTTTCTGTGCTGATGTGTGAGCTTGTGGTGGTTGATATTGTGATGCTTTTATCAAATTTATCTTCTCAACTATAAACATTGGCTTTTGGTGCAGATAGTTGGTTGGACCAGCAGCAAAATAATCGGGATTGTGAAAAGACGGTCATGCTGAATGTTGCTTCCATTCGGTGGATCAGGGATGAATTCCACGATGGATGACATTAACTTGATTCAGCAGGCACAAAGGCATCGCCTGGTGGTTAGACAGCTTGGTGAAGAGATTGATCTGGAAATTGGGCCTGGGGACGACGACCCTTCATTTGGTAACTCCACTCTAATCGGCGGCCCGCCGCGAGAACCTTCTTCAGAGGAGCCTGATGACACTAAGCAGATGGTGATGGTTTCTCAACTTCCTAGTGATGATCAGGATATGTCAAGGACACAGCCTGTGAAAAGGAAGAAGAAGGTTGTAAAAAGATGGAGAGAGGAATGGGCTGATACATACAAGTGGGCATATGTTGATGTAAAGGAGGGGACGCCTAGGATATTTTGCTCTGTCTGTAAAGAGTATGGTCGGAAGCATAGACGGAATCCTTATGGGAACGAAGGTAGTCGAAATATGCAAATGAGTGCACTTGAAGAACATAATAACAGTCTACTACACAAGGAGGCTCTTCGGCTGCAGATGGCCTCGAAGGATAAGATAGTTGCTGATAAGCCTGTTTATGTGAAAGGTTGGTCTCATATTTCGAAGTAACTTTTTCCTTGCTTTTGCTTGGTCAGCCTAGGGATTTCCCAAGATATGGAGGGTCAAACTATGGTTTATTATGTACCTTTTTATGTTGGATCTTGCGTATTTTCCTCCTGCGGTAACATTGAGTGTCTGGGGTTCTTCGGACACCCGACTAATTGTGTATTATCATCTGTGTGAGCCTTCGAATTGTTAATTTTAAAACATGTCAGATACTGTTGCACGTAGGTTGAAAAATCGTTTTCTTGGAATATCAATATCATTTTGATTTACACCTATGCTTTGATTAACATTTTGTGAAGAACCTTCGAGAGAGGTTTTTTCAGACTATTTGGAACATCAATAGTAACTCTAAGTCTAAGAATTCAAATTTATCTGGAACAGTTGTCACATATAAATAAGCTAGATGAAATGTCGTGAAAAACTAATTTCATTCGAAAGTCGATGCTCTCATTAGCTGCGGCCAATGTGGTTGCGCTATTCTCCTTCTGTAGAACTTGAACATGCTCATTATGATTAGATAATCTCATGTTAGGATGCTAAAATAACAACAAGAACAGCGAGTCAGCGACAATGGTAACAGCAAAGCCTTATCCTCATAAGTGGGTTGATTATCGTCATTTTTATTCGGTTTTGATTCCAAATCTTTTCTGGTTGTCTCCCTCTGCAGATTTTTTAAGTCTTCCCGTCACTTTTGACCTAGTTTCCATACCATAATCACTCTTCGGTCTTAATTAAATAAGTTATCTTGTCCGTTACCGTTTGCATTTGACAGCAAGTAGGACATCTCGTGTGACATTATGCAGCCGTTCATCTTAATGTGCCTATTGCCTAGTGTTAGAGTTCTAATGTTGTTTGTTACAACTGTATAGTTTTTTTCACCGTTGTATATAACATTTTGTCATTTTTTTCGCTTCGTTGCATTACTCATGAATTTGTGCTTTCGTATAGCTTTCTTTTTCTTACAATTACATGGCTTGGTCAGAGCTTTTTCTTACCCTTCATTTCATATGTAACTGGTTATTCTTGGGAATGGAAGCCCTCATGTCAAAAACCGCTGGATCAATTGTTGAAGCTGCGTTAAAAAGAGATCCACATGAGCTTGAATTCATACAGACGGTTCAAGAGGCGGTGCATGCCTTGGAGAGAGTCATTGCGAAAAATGCTCAGTAAGTTGTCCTGAGGATGAAGTACTTCCTTTCTCCAGCATTTGCAGGAAGATGATGCACTGTTAAGGTTTATTTGTAGATCTGATGAAGTTGCTATTTTATCTTTCAGCTACGTCAACATCATGGAGCGCCTGCTAGAACCCGAGAGAACAATTATCTTTCGAGTTCCATGGGCAGACGATAGGGGCGAGACACATGTCAATCGGGGTTACAGGGTACAATTTAACCAGGCACTCGGTCCCTGTAGGGGTGGTATCCGTTTCCATCCATCAATGAACTTGAGTATATGCAAGTTCCTTGGTTTTGAGCAGGTACTTTTTGCTCCAATTATATGTCTCTGGCCATTTTTGCTTACTTTTCAGATGAAAAATCTTTTTGCATGTGTTTTGTCCTATTAGTTGCATTACGTATGTTTCCATTTGTTGATTCCCAAGGAGGTCAAAACTTTTAGTATGGCCAAGACTGCATGGAGAAGAATGTATATGTTATTGCGAATCCCACTGGATAAAATCTAAGGCATTGATTACAAGAAAAAAGACTAAATCTTGGGAAAATTTAGTTCTTATTTTTTATATGAAGTTCTAATTTTTGCCGGATAGGGTTTTAATAAAGTCTCCTCACTATATTGAGACCTGATACTTCTCTCAATGTCACTCTGTTTTGTGTACAGACTCTGAAAAATGCCCTGTCACCATACAAACTTGGAGGTGCAGCTGGTGGAAGTGATTTTGATCCAAAAGGAAAAAGTGATAATGAGGTAAAGATGCCAGTCTATCATGATGATGTGCATATTAAATATGACAGGATTTCAGGAAGTGCGCCTAATTGTACCAGTGATGGCAGATCATGAGCTTTTGCCAGAGTTTTATGAATGAGATTTATCGGTATTTGGGTCCAGATAAGGTACAACCATGTCCCAAATTTTTTGTGATTTCTTTTCGTTTCTTCAAGTAATTTAATTAAATTCCAGGACCTCCCATCAGAGGAAATGGGTGTGGGAACTCGAGAAATGGGTTTCCTCTTTGGACAGTATCGGCGCATAGCTGGCCATTTTCAGGTACCTCTCAAAATCCTCAATTAGAAAGAGCTGAAATTTAAGAACTTGTTTTGTCTCTTCTTCTTTACTTCCTTCTCCGTTTAGTGATGATTAATAGAGCTGTCCATTTGCGTTCTATTTATGTATCTTACTTATGCAGGGGAGTTTTACAGGACCCAGGATTTTCTGGTCTGGCTCTAGCCTCCGAACTGAAGCTACTGGCTATGGCCTGGTAAAAAGCCATTTATCTCTCCATCATTCTTTGTCTTGACTGTGGATTGATAGAGTGATCATGTATACATTGAACTGTGCATGCTTGTGCAATAAAAGCCGGCTGTTCTGAAATATTGTTTTTGCCTGCTATTTCCTCTACCTGGTATAGCATTTACAATTATGCATTGTTTGGTTCTGTAAATGGTGGAGTTGATGTTTGCATGCTTCTGCAGGTTTTCTTTGCGCAACTCATACTGTCTGACATGAATAAAGAGCTGAAAGGACTGAGGTTACACCTGACTTTGAAATTTTTCTAATAGCTGTACAAGTTATCCAAGCAATCTACTTTATATGATGCTTTTCTCAAAGATAAATGCATATTTTTATCCACTTTTACACATTTGTTTGTTGTATCTCGTGAGGCTTTTGATAGTGTGCACTAGTCTACTCATACTGTTACATGAACATTTCCACTTGGGGATACCTATAGGACAAGATCAAATGAGTTAAGTTTCTTGGGAGCATAGTCTGTTGCCATTAAATCAGTTTAGGCAGGTAGTATCGTTAATGCATTCTACTGAGAAATTGCTTCACAATTTATACCTGCAGAGTGAGGTTATGCTAGATGATCAGGATTCAGTTCCACGATGATGCTTTTTTGTTCGACTCCATCTTCATGTTCCGTCCTCCAAACATCACTTATATGACATTATTTTCATCCAGATGTGCAGTAAGTGGTTCTGGAAAGATTGCAATGCACGTACTGGAGAAGCTTATAGCTTATGGCGCTGTTCCTATAACTGTATCTGGTGATTTTCTTGCCTGACTATTTATGGCCCTGTGGGAGTAATTTTTGTGAGTCGCAACATTTACTAACAAAAGACTTCACACAGATTCAAAGGGGTATTTGGTGGATGAGGATGGATTCGACTATATGAAAATATCATTTTTAAGAGATATCAAAGCTCAACAGAGAAGTCTGAGGTGTGCATTTTATTTTGTTTTCCTTTTTTTTTTTTACTTAAGTGTTAATGCTCGAAACCATTCCTCAAGAACTGTCATCTGCAGAGATTATTCGAAGACGTATGCAAGATCCAAATACTATGATGAAGCAAAACCTTGGAATGAAAGGTGTGATATTGCATTCCCTTGTGCTTCTCAAAATGAAATTGAGCAGTCTGATGCCTTTAATTTGGTGACTTCAGGTTGCCGTATATTAGTGGAAGGTAATTATTGCGACTCAACCAATTTTGCCCTTTTAATGTTCCAATTCACCTTCACAGACAATTACCTTTCTTTTGCTGATGCTAGGTTCTAACATGCCTTGTACACCCGATGCTGTGGATGTGCTGAGAAAAGCTAATGTTCTCATCGCTCCTGCAATGGCTGCTGGTGCTGGAGGGGTTAGATTTTATCGTCTCTAACTTGTGCATGATCTGTACACTTTATTGCGTGTATGCAACTCGTGTGGAAATTGGAGTCCAATTAGCTATATGCTTTATTTCGTGCTGGATGGTGCTGGATGATGATCTCATGTCGAGAAAAGTATAGAACTGAAAGTGTCAGAAGAATGCCCCAGAATTAATTCACACTTTCCCTCAATAAAATCTATTCCAGAAACAAATTTACTTTGCAGAATATGTTATGTGTTTTTCAGAAACAGTCAGTGTCTAAGGGCAGAACGAAAGATATGAAGTACTTACATCTTAGAGAATACTACATGCAGATGCAATGGACTTAAATAGTCCATATAGTCGTTTCTCGTAGTGAGATGAGACTCAGTAGTTGTTGTAATGTCTGACCAGTCTGATCTAGAGTTCTATGACCAGGTTAGAGAAAGTGCAGAGCATGAATGGTTGTAAACATGAATATATGGTCGTGAATTGCTTACATAGAGATAAATTCAACAGTTATGCCTGGATATCACATAGATCATGTAGTGATTACCATATTATCACCATTATCAAGCTATTCTTGATAGGACTTTCATGAAGTCAGCTACTTTGTTGGTAAATCTGCTGCTGTCTGTCAGGATAGATAGGGGAGGACGAAGCTGGAACTATGATCTTATTACGTTTTCCTTTGTAAATGTTTCTGATGCTTGTCCCTATTCCGTATATGTGATCAATTTATTAACTTGCTAGCAGGTCGTTGCTGGAGAACTTGAACTGAATCATGAGTGTAACCTGCTGCAGTGGTCCCCTGAGGACTTTGAATCTAAATTACAGGTTAGACTTTGCCGCTTCTTTAAAGCGGCCAGACTTTTTTAAGAAGTTGAAACTTCGGCCAGTAGATGCACCAAATGTGTTTTTCTTTGTTTCCGCCAAAAGAAAATATATGTGCTTATACTCTATATTATATGCATATATCCTATAAATAGATTGTACTTACTTAAAAGTATGTATGTGCTAAGGATAGATTGATTTTATAATATTTTATAGATCTAAGACGGAAGGGCTATGATTTCCTGGAAGTCAATAATCTTTACACTTTGCATTATCATAATTGATCAGACAGCATACGCTGACTGGTGCTCAGGTCAGATTTCATTCCAGAATTAGGATTAGTAGAAAGCCACTACTCTCTCTCCATATATGCGTATCCTGTATCTGTGCTTGAGGAAACGAACACTAATAATGTACTGGGTGATCAAAACTTGGGTGCTCGGTGATTTGATTTTTCGAGCAAAAGCGTTGATTAATCCATTTTTAAATCATTTTTTAAGTTTTTTCCAATGACGTGCTTATTCAAACGTTGTTTTTTGAATGACTCCTAATTGCTTATTTTCATAGCTAAAAACTGAAAAATCATGACCCCTGCTAATTTTCATAGGCTCATCCCTGAAAAATAAGCACTCTTGTAACTAGTAAGGATGTGGGAAGTTCACCGTTCTGTCATCTTCATTGGCAGGAAGCAATGAGACAGATATATCAAAGAGCCCTCAAAGCAGCAACTGATTTTGGTTATCAAAAGGACAATCCAGAGTATGTGCTCTTCAAGAAGAATCCTGTTGTGCCATTTCTGTCTTGTTTCCATGATTCCCCGGAAAATCTGTAGCAATTTGGAATTAGAATCATCTTTTACAGTATTGCTTCTCATTTCCTGACATGTTTTCACCATCCTTGATAGGGCATTGGTACATGGAGCTGTAATCTCCGCTTTCCTGATGATCGCCCAAGCTATGACCGATCAAGGATGTGTATAGTAGAGACACCGAATAATGTACGGAGTTCATCCTTGCTCCTCAGCAACTGGCTCGTTCGTACCTGGACTGGACCCTGCTAATACTCTGGACAACATCGGTTCAGCGGGCACGAAGCTGACGGACATCTCGGCATTCCTGAAAGAATATCGATCGTAATCGTGTCAGAGGAGGCGGGGGGATCAGTGGAAGTCGGTACATCTCTTTGTAACATAAGTGTAGTCTTATACCGGAGACATGGAAAATAGAATTTTGTCCATAATTGATTGGGGACAAGAAGACATGCTTACATGAAAAGTTTTTAGTCGCGATATAAGAAAACGTCCCGATTAATTGCTCAAGTCATCATCGTTTGCTTCCTAAAGATGTGGGCACTGGGCAAAACCTGTGGGGATTCATCATCCTATTTGGTCATGTGAGATGCCGAAAATCAAAGCAAAAGTAGTTTCGATTTCGACGCTTGCAGGAACGATAATCGAGCGTCTTCTTTCGCGCTCATTAGATCTGTTTTTAATGCGTTCTTGTTAGCTAACTCATGTTCATATCTCACGCAGATTGTGTATCTGCCATTATTCCTTTTCCTTTGGTCATAGGCGTAGTCCGCAGTTTGCACTTGAATTACTGGCTTGCTTAGAGTTGAACCGTTTGCAAAATTGTTTCCTTTGCCCCTTGTCCATTCCTTTCGTAATTCGGAGTTACTTATCATATATACACAAGTATAATGGGAAAAGCACCAAAAAAGTTGTAACCCTATAGCAGTTGTATTAATTTTGCTTTAAACATTTTAATTGTGTTAATTCAGTCTTAAACCTTTTAACGATTTGCCAATATAGTTCATTCGACCAATTTTCGGCTGGAAATCGCTTAAATGGATGCTGGCTGTTTTATGTGGCACAACCGACGTGGACAAATTTTCATAATTTTCAATGTCTTTTTTCTAAATTTTTTTTTCTTTCTTTGTTTTTTTTAGAACTCCGAGCTGGTGAGGTCATTGCCCACGGGTTAGGGCATCGGTGATTTGCGGTCAAAATTGGTTAGATGGATTACAATTGCAAATAGTCAAAAGGTTTAGGACTCAATTGATTCAAATGGAAGGTTTAGAACTGAATTAGTACAAGTGCAATATCATCGAGCTTTTAAATAACTCATTTCTTTCGACTCAAAAAAAAAAACTCATTCCGAATCCCACATAGCTGTGAAATGGCACTTCATAATTTCTCCTCGATAGGCTTTTCCATATCGAAAAGTTCAAGGGCTAAATGAAGACGAAGGAAAGAAAGAAACAAAAAAAAAAAAAAAACAAACAAACACCGATTCATCGTCATCAGAGCTAACCGAAAGCTCGTAGACCATGGGTAGTTTAGGAACATCAGCGGGTCAAGGGCACGCCCGTAAATAACGTGAAACCAAGTGGGCTCGGAGGTCTTCGCATAAAAGCCTTTGGAACGAATTAGGGTTTCACTATAAATACTAGTCTCTTCCGCTCTCTCTCTCCCTGCAGCAACACACGAAGATCGAGCTCTCCAGTTCCCTGCGAAACCTCGCGCGCCGACAGGTACGTCGGTTTCGGCATCCCTCGCCTTCCGATGCCCGCCATGGGTTCTAGCTGATTTCGTCTTCGTGAAGTTGCAGAGCCCAGAAGAGAAGACGGAGAGAGAGAGAGAGAGATGGCGACGGTGCCGGGGCAGCTGATCTGGGAGATCGTGAAGAAGAACAACTCGTTCCTGGTGAAGGAGTTCGGGCGGGGGAGCGCCAGCGTCCAGTTCAGCAAGGAGCCCAACAATCTCTTCAACCTCAACTCCTACAAGCACTCCGGTACGGCCTTCGAGCGTTGAGCTGCTGTTTTCGTTGCGACGGCATTCCCCTTTTAGTGCGTGCCGGCGGGTGTGGGGGGAAGGTAGATTGGGAGCGAGAACGATCTAGTTGTGGGGAATTGGGAGCGAGAACGATCTAGTTGTGGGGAAAGTGGAGGCTCGAACGTTTTCTGGGTTCAGTTGTTACTCGATTGAATGTGATGTCCGATGTGGGTGATCGTGAAAGTCGAATGTTTCCGTGAGAAATATCGTTTCTTGTGACGGATGGGACTTAACCCAACTGTGCAGGGGAGTTTTTTCGTTTTGAAAGTTTAGCGCTTCTTAAGTTCTGGTGAATGTGATAAACTTCTTGGAGCTAGTGTGGCTTTTCTCATCGGTTTCGTGACATTTTTCAAAGGTTTCGATTACGCTTGGGGATTTGGAAGTTAAAAGAGTGTTTTTTTGATGGGTGGAGTTCATCGTTTTGTTGTTTTGGTTTCAAGATGTTACTTGTGGACTTACTTTTATTGCGCCTGAGATGTGCTTGCTGATTTTGATCTAAAAGATTTCTTTTTGCATAATAATGTGGATTGAAGCAATCTCTTCTTTTCTTTTCTATTTTTCCAGCAAAAGGATTATTGATGAAGTTTTGTGTAGTTTGCGGTCGTTTGTGAAGTTTTTCAAATATTTTGAAACGTAGGGTGTGTTTGTTTGAGTGAAAGAATTTTCCGGGAATCAGTTTTGTGGACTCTCATGGGTTTGCTTTGTTGGAAATGATAAGTTCGTCGAAAATCATTTACGGTCAAAGAAAAATATGCATGCTAAAAGTTTGGAAAATGAATTCTATAACCTGAAAATGGAAAAAAAAAACATTTTCTTGGAAAATGATTTCATGTGTTGCAATATGATCGACTCTTTTGGTAATCACTTGGTCTCAAAATTTTGTGGAAACCAAACTAAATGCAAACTTGTTTTTGTTGGACAATTTAGGGTTGGCCAACAAGAAGACAGTCACTGTTCAACCAGAGGGTAAGGAGCCATTTGTGTTACTTGCCACTACCAAGACCAATAAGCAGAATAAACCAGCAGCTTTGCTTCACAAGTCTGTCATGAAGAAGGAGTTCCAAAGAATGGCCAAGGCTGTCACCAACCAGGTAAACCAATATTATTTGCGAGTTGCAGGGTAATGGACTTGAAGTCCATATAAAATTCGCATGACAGATTGTTCATGGACTGTTAGCATACTCAGATGGTGTAGAGTATTAACACTGTAATAAAATCCCAAGATCCAAAGTCTTACCATGTCCCCAGTCATGTTAATTATTTTGGCTGTGATGAAGCAGTAACGTGTAAGAAGAACCTTCATTACTTGGTTTCTTCAATGAAATATACTTGTTACGCTTGGCTTCTGAGCTTGAATGTACGAGCTTTGCGTGAATAGCATGTGAGGTTTCATTTCTTTTAGAACACAGTGGACCTTAACATGATAAGCATGTTCAACTATACAAGACAATGATATCGTGTATATGATTTGTATTGATATCTGTTATAGAATAGTGGACATGGAAATTTTTTTTTGATAACTTTTCTCCCTTGGTAAAAATTATCTTTTTTTATATTCTCACTATGTTCTTAGTCATGTTGATAATTCCAGCAGTGATGAAGCATTAATGTGTAAGGAGAACCTTCATTTGGTTTCTTCAAGGAAATATAAGTAACGCTTGGCTTCTGAGCTCAAATGATTGAACTTGTTTGCACAGTTTCACTCCTTTAAGTTATGATATGATTGGTCTCAACATGATCTGTTTAACTCTTGACTCTTCATGTTGGCTAATAAACTGTGTAAGGAGAACCATTATTTGGTTTTTTAGCATACTCGGATGGTGTAGAGTATTTAACACTAATAAAATCCCAAGATGCAAAGTCTTTGTAAAACTTTTTGCCTTTTTTTTTTCACCATGTCCCCAGTCATGTTAGTTATTCTGGCTGTGATGAAGAAGTAACGTGTAAGAAGAACCTTCATTACTTGGTTTCTTCAATGAAATATACTTGTTACGCTTGGCTTCTGAGCTTGAATGTACGAGCTTTGCGTGATTAGCATGTGAGGTTTCTTTTTTATTTTTAGAACACAGTCGACCTTAACATGATAAGCATGGTCAACTATACAATACAATGATATCATGTATATGATTTGTATTGACGTCTGTTATAGAATAGTGGACATGGAAAATTTTCTTTGATAACTTTTCTCCCTTGGTAAAAATTATCTTTGTCAACTCTTTTTTGTTTTCTCACTATGTTCTTAGTCATGTTGGTAATTCTAGCAGTGATGAAGCTTGAATGTGTAAGGAGAATCATTATTTGGTTTCTTTGAGGAAATATAAGTACGCTTGGCTTTTGAGCTCGAATGATTGAACTTGCTTGCATAGTTTAATTTCTTTTAGTTATGATATGGTTGATCTTAACATGATGTTTTTAGGTTTTGACTCTTTCTGTTTATCTCGAATGCTTTATTTCTCAGCTAATAAGCTGATGAATATATAATTTTCTTATGCCTGAAAAGGAAAACATATAGAAGACAATTGTATGTGGATGAGTTGCTTATGCTTGTGTCGGATGTTGTTAGGTCTTAGAAACATTTCTTTATGGAGACATTTTTTTGTCAATACTTCATTGTTGGTTCGTCGCCTGATGAGCATCGTAATATTTCACCTGTGGCAGGTAGGAGATAACTACTACCGCCCTGATCTGAAGAAAGCGGCACTCTCAAGGTTGAGCACTGTGCATAGAAGCCTCAAGGTGGCAAAATCTGGTGTCAAGAAGAGGAACAGGCAGGCTGTTAGGGTCCGTGGCAGGAAGTGAGTTTTGAAACGGAATTAGTCCCTTCTTTTTTGGTTTGGAGTCTTTCAAGAAATGGTTTCTTTTGCTGCCGTTTTTTTCTTGAACTTTTTATGACAATGTATTTTTTATCGAGACATCGTAGACACAGGTTAGCCGAAGAGGAACTTAGTATCTTTGGATGAAAATGCTTTCCTATTTTCCCCTCCCCACAACCACCGATTCGCGTTCCGAGTTGTCATGCCTCATTCTCGTTGTTCAAACTGAGATTTTTCCTGGTTTCAAATGCTCGTCACCACTTGGCTTTAGCTGGGCTGTCTTAAGAAGTTAAATTACCTGCACGTTTTGCATACGCCTTGTCGAGTCACGTGGGTTATCAACAAGCTTGTTTTTTAAATTAGCTTACTTTATTTTCGATGCAATGCGTGCGTCCACGTCTTTGTTCAAACTCTGGTTGAGGCTTGACTTGTGTGCAATCTTTGTCTTCCTGGGGGGCGTAGACTAAACGCATGTTGCTTCCTTTGGCCCCTTTTTGTGTTTTGCCTCTATGAACCGTGCGGACCCCGATGACCTTCTACTTGCGCTAAAACTACTGGAAAGTCGAATTCGGAGAAGAAGTGGGGGTCACGCAACTCCTGATATTAATCGGTCCATCTCATTATCGGTTTAATCATCTGATTATTTAATTAATCAATACCGTACGTCAACTTCTCTACTTGTAGGGCATTCCTTCTTAAGCGAAACTTAGAGATGAAGACTAATTAGGAGCATCAGTTGGAGACATGTACCCCTCTCTTTCCTTTGGTTTTGCTAGATGGTGACCTTCCACCACTTCTCTTCTAGAGCATATGAAGTCATGGCTGACCGATCATTCTCTGTGATGTCAGGCTGAGGATGTTGGAATTCTTCTTAGGACATGGGGCAATTTCCTTAGAAATTGGTGGTTAGGAAGGAAATAGAAATTTGGTGATGTAATATTCCGCGGGGTGCTGTCTATCGCCAGCTATACAATCGAATATTCAACATTCTATTCTTTAAAGTTTTGTCTTCTGTTGGAGAGATTTCAGAACATGTCAGGCAAAATTATCGATGGCTTAGGGCCCAAGTAGGGCAAGTTGGGAGGTTTTACTTTTGTCCAATACCAGACATATAAAACGTGGAATCAATCCAACAACTCGTGGTTTTGCGAAAGTCAAAATTCAACATCCATATTAATCTCCTCACCAGCTGTTCTAGCAGATATTTCTGAATTTTAGAGGGGGTCATGATACGCAAAGATTAAAGAAGAAGTTTTTTGACGGCTTCGGTCGTAACGGAGTCGATGAGAATGGAACGAGTCGTGATTTAACCTCGAGATCTCGGGTTTCTTGAGCCTTTAAACTCGGACACCCGTCTTACCGGGTAATCTCGGGATCAAATGATATTATATATTTTCACATGGACATAGATTAGATCAGGAAGTCCGTCTAAAACATCAACCCAATGTGTGCAATTTTGAAAAGTCAAGTCAATGGGAATAACTTGTGTGCACGCGTTGTTGATGTGATTTGAAGCCATTATATAATCCGCCCACCTTCAACGCTGGCCAAAGCTTTGTAGGCTTGTAGCTTTATATCTACGCCCATCATCATCAGCATCATCGTCTTCTTCGTTTCTTCTTCTTTAAAACATTCAACAAAACCCAGAAGCAAGAAGATAGGAGCCTCCGACGCCATGTCCGTGAAGAAAACTCTCTCTCTAACCAGAGAGAAGGCCGGCAAATCCGCCATGTCCGCCATGCCCGCCAAGAAGACCCTCTCCCTCAACGCCAGCAACAGAGTGTCCTCGTCGGAACCTATAGGCGCCAGCAACGATGCCGCCGTCGTCGCGAAGAGGAGGCGCACGGACAGGTGCTTCTCGTTCATGGAGATAAACATCGAAAAGCCGGCGGGCTCGACGTCGCTGAAGGACGTCGACTCGAACAAGCTGAAGGCCGAGATCAAGCGGTGGGCCAAGGCCGTCGTGAGGTACGCTCGCCAGGTGAGCGACCGCTTCGCGAGGTCGAGCTCCAATGTGAGTGGCTGATCATGAATGCTGGAGATCCCAAGTTATCGTTTTCTTCATGGAGGGACAGAGACGAGCGAACCGTGGCTAATTGAGCATGGTTACTTCAAGGAGAATTGAAGAGGAAGGAAAGTGATTGGATGGGGACATTTGAGCCACTGTGATGGATTTTGTGTACATACTTTGGAAACGAATAACGATGTAAATGAGATTATGGAGACTTTGATTCTTGGAAAAAGAGAGATCATCGGTGTTTGTGAATTCATGTGTTTTGATTCGGTTTGGCTACTTGTTAATCAAACATGGAGAATACCCGGGCGGAAAAAATCGGGTCGGGTCGGGTCGTTTTTAACTGTCCTAATATGTCGGTTTGGTTTCTAGTAATTCGTAAATTAACATAGCAATGTCATATGCAAGAAGGCCAGAACAGATCCCGTTCTGGTTAAAGTCTATGAATGAATATGTTCGGTTTTATTCAGTCTCTGTACGTTTGGACTGATTCTCATTTTTCATCTTTTTACCTTTTGCTTTATCAACGTGTGGCGGCTTACATATTGTGACCCCTTCTTGTTTTTTTTAATAAATTCGAAACATTCGGAATTTGTACGGGATGCAAAAATTAACATGTGATTTAAAATCCATAACATTCGGAATTTAGACACTTTAAGCTTTGTCGGTATCGAATCGAGTTCGACTCATATTTGAGTTATGCTCAACAGGTTTGGGTAGAGTCGACCTCGATAAATATGAGTTGAGCTCGATATTGGCAAAGCTCGATGGCTTGTGTGGTGGAGGAGTGGGGTGGTGGGCAAGTGGGTTTTTATTGTGGGTGGATTTGAAATGGTGGGAGGGGCAAAACTGGGAGAATGACAAGTTCATAAATAGGATCATATGTCAAATGCAATTTCAGATGTTAATAGTAGGTTTTTAAAACTCAAGGCCCAAATTGATATATATAGTTAAAATGCAAGGGTGCTTTTTAATATTTTCCTCGACAGAAAAATCAACTTGAGATAATAAGACTTGAACGTCTCACTCACCGTTTCCATTGAATGTTGCATGTCGGGTCGATCGCAAAAGAGCATGTACTGAGACTATATGACATGACCCTCTCCAACCTGTCCCAAAGTCATCCTTCTTCGAGACACTTTCACACCCCCACGAAGTCCTAAATCGAACTTTCTACGATTAAGGTCAGATGTGTTTGGGCCTTGCACGTTAATGACTCGGAAATTCCTAAACATGTCGTAAGACAAGATATCGATCGCATCTGGTTGTGGTTACCATTCGTGCATACCTTTGTAAAACGACGACATTTGTCAAGCGATCTATACGGCGCATTTAATTATTTTTTTTGGCCAAAAAAAATAAAAATAAAAGCCACATACCTCAATTTCATCAATTTCACACATTACCAATCTCAAACACGGCATGGCATTTTTCATTCAAGCAAAAGAAAACTCGCACGCATTTCCAACAGGGGCACAACGGTCTTCCCACGGGGGGGCCCCCGCTCCGCACGTGCGGGGGAGCCTCGCTTTTCCTCCGAAGCGGAGCCTCTTCTTCCGCTTTCGAAGAAATCCCCCAAATCGTATCAAATCGATCTCTCTCTCTCTCTCTCGCTCTGCGCAAACCCTAGATCGAACGAACGATCGATCGATCGATCGATCTCGATCCGTGTCGGGGATCTCTTGAGGAGGGGGGGCGAATGGGGAACACGGAGAAGCTGCTGAACCAGATCATGGACCTCAAGTTCACCTCCAAGTCGCTGCAGCGGCAGTCCCGCAAGTGCGAGAAGGAGGAGAAGGCGGAGAAGCTCAAGGTCAAGAAGGCGATCGAGAAGGGCAACATGGACGGCGCCCGCATCTACGCCGAGAACGCCATCCGCAAGCGCACCGAGCAGATGAACTACCTCCGCCTCGCCTCCCGCCTCGACGCCGTCGTCGCCCGCCTCGACACCCAGGCCAAGATGACCACCATCAACAAGTCCATGGCCTCCATCGTCAAGTCCCTCGAGTCCTCTCTCGCTACCGGTAATAATATTCTCGCTTTCGTTGGCTCGATCGCTTTTTTCCCGTCGTCGCCGCGTCGCGTGTTGTTTGACCTTGGACCGTATTTGGGCTGCTTTGGATTTGGCTGTGACAATGAGTTAGTGCTATCGATTAGGCTGGAGTAAGGAGGTTATCCTCTTTCCGTTTGTTATGTGATCATGCTAGTAAAGGTTTGATCTTTTGCTCGTGTGATGTTGAGCAGCACTTGCTCTTCTCATGTCAAAACCAAATAAATGATGAGATGCGTTTTCGGTGTTATTTAATATCGGCGGTTTAAGAATTGGTGATCGCGGATCATGGCAGCCTAGTCCAGTTGGAGATGTTTGTTGTGTAATTGGAGATAACGTGGAATTGCTTGTTTGGATTAGAATTGGCTGGAGACTATTATGTCTTGTCCTCTGAGAACCTTAGAATGACAAAAAGTATTTGTCTGTTAACCTTGGGATGGAATAGTCAGGACTGGTTTTATGTCGCGAAAGGAGAGGTTTTTTTTTTTTTTTTTTTTCCCTTTCTTTCTTGTTTACTAACGTGGTTGCAGCTGGTGTTCCTTGCATCATTCTTAATTTTAGCGAAGATTTGAGGAAAAAGTTTGGGAATGTCATTACGGTTCAACAGGGAAGGGATGTTTATTTACCCCAAAGATAAGAGTCGTGCTTTTAGGGCATTTCGAAAGAGAGATATTTGTCGTCATTGACTGGAGTGATGACTGCAGCAGGAGGAATTTCTCATGGGGAAAAAAATCATTAGCGAAGATTGTTGTTGCAAAGGATATTAAAAGAGCTAAGGACAGCCATCCTTCGATTTTCCCTGTAGCCTTTGCCAATATAATTCTAAGCTACTTTTCTACCCCTCAGAATCATTGACTTTGAAATGTCCTTGCGTAGACTAGAATGGCAATAAGGTTAGTGAGTGTGAGAGACAGTTTTGAAGTCCAAAAAGATGAATGAGGTGCTTTGCAACTGATGGTTAAGAATAACGTCTCTGATGCATATGTAATGAACTTTTATTTGGATGAGCATGTTATAACCAACCTCAGTTTTTCTTTAACTCGTGGCGTGGTCAAGAGTACTTTAGGTTGCCCTTCCAAATCTGTCTTTTTTCTTGATTCATGCATCGGGTGGTTATTTTGTTAGAGTGAGAGATTGAACCTGGTGAATCTTCACAGACAATGAAACAGATGAGATGACTGGGGGTCTTAAATGTGAGGGATGCTCATATCTTGTGAAATCCATTTTGATATTCTTTGCCTGTTCAATCGGATTTCACAGTTTCTTATCAATTTGACTGTAAAAATTTAGCCATTGACATTACACATCTCCTTCATGGCTTATTTTCCTTTTTTAAGTTCTAACACTACGTGAGTTTTAGAAATTCCCTTGGTTAAAGGAACTGCAGTATTCACTAGCTTGAATCTTCCCTGTATAATTGAAATGCTTTCTTTCTGTTCTGCAGGTAATTTGCAGAAGATGTCAGAGACGATGGATTCCTTTGAAAAGCAGTTTGTCAACATGGAGGTGCAGGCAGAGTTCATGGAGAGTGCAATGGCTGGGTCAACATCACTTTCCACTCCAGAAGGAGAAGTGAACAGCTTGATGCAGCAAGTAGCGGATGATTATGGACTGGAAGTCTCTGTCGGTTTGCCACAACCAGCTGCACATGCAGTTCCAACTAAATCATCAGAGAAGGTTGATGAAGATGATCTTTCAAGACGGCTTGCAGAGCTCAAGGCCAGAGGTTGAGATTTCTAAGTTCTACGAGACTGAGATGTCATTTAATGTAAAACATATGTTGGTATGGGGAATCCTGTTGGATGTCTCAAGAAACTTATTATTCCCGTGTAAATGTGACTGGATTCGAACCCGGGTTCCTATGAACCTTGTGGTATCTATCATCTACGCTTGTAATGTTAAGACCCGAGTTTTATCTAATGTGTGAGTTTCTCTGTTCGGCTCTACAGTAAGTTCGTTGCATATGCATTCTCTTGTTCATACTTTCAATAATTTTACATAGGCAGGTTTGATTTTTGCGCAACTTTGGGTTGGACTTAATACAGTTGATCCATTTAATTTTCTACCAAAAGAACACAGATTGTGTATAGGAGGTAGAATTAGAGAATACTGCTGTCTGCCAAGGATAGGGAAAACGTTCCGTGTGAAAAAAGAAAAAGATATACCACCAGGGAGAAAATTCACTTCATAGTTGATGAAACTAGTCTCGCCTCGATTCATACCATCCTAGGAGGAATGTGTTGCTAGTTCTTCGGCGAGGTTTAAGACAGCTAATGTTCTTTTCTTCTTCAATTGGAACTACAGATGATTGAATAGACATGGGTGCATATTCTTCTAACACTACGTGACGATCTCTATGATCAGGAAATACTTGTGCTTGTCCTCATGCTTCTTCACCATGTAACACATCACCTGTTATTTGAAGGACATGAAAATTTTCTAGGGATTAGATCACTACCTCTCTTCTCGTGTAAAAATGAGCTGTGACATTACATTTTAATAAGTCCTACCAGAGGCAAAAAAATTTGAGGCAAAACTTCAGAATAACTTTAGCAAATGTCCTCACCGAAACTTTCGTCAATACCCAAAAACGTCCGACGCTAAAGCTGACAGAGAATCTAAAGCACTAGGAGCAAACTTCCTAGCAAAGAGGAAACAAAGCGAATAGGGTCGATCGTTGTAACTGCAGGAGGAGTTTTCCAGGATTTTCTTGAAAAATTCCTTTGTGATATCGGCCTCGCCAAAAGTAGCAGGGTGGGGACCGCCTCTTGACCAGTCCACCCAAGTGAGGCTTCTGTTTGCCAGGAGATCCGGAGATTGGATGGTTAGCATCGTAGGGAAGTAGTGTTCATCCACATAACATGTAGGTCTGCAGAACTTCTTGAACATAGGGTAATAGGTCGAATCTTCTATTATGTCTATGGCGAGTTGACGGTTCACTTCAAACCACTGAGAACCTTTACGCCACTCGGTAAGGTTGATCTCTGGTGCCATCTTCTTGTTGTAGCGTCCTCTCCCATAGGGGCCATCTTCATCGAAAGCTCCGGTGAAGCTGTACTTGGATTGTGCTATGTACCTATAGACAGCGGTGAGGTTCTGGATTGGGATGCACGATTCAGAGATGAGGATGAACCATTCGTTGGACATATCAAGCAGGGCGTTTGCCAAGAGTCTCCTTTCTGCATCACACATGCTCATCAACCCCCACTCCACCACCTGATCAGCACAAAGCAGAGAGAACACCGAAAGTGCTTTATTGCTCGACTTACAGAAATTACTGTTAGATAGAGTAAGTACTTCTTGAAGGACCAGATATGGACATTATAAAGTTTCTTTAAGATTGACATTGACTAGAACCTAACAAAAGATTCGAGATGCAGTTTTTGAGACAGGTATTTAAACAAGCATATGCAGAGCATTGAGTCGAAGCATTAGTCACACAGCACCATGTGCTTTTTCATTGTTCTCTTCGTTCTGGTCACCTACTTACTCACCATTTTCCATCAGATCAATGGTGCATAGCCTTCTCGGTGAGAAGAGGCAGCCAAGTCTATCCTTGCTGACCACTCTCAAATTCCTCTACAACATGCTTATGTCTAATTTATGTGTTTGATTAGTTCATGAGTTGCTTCCCTTGTTATATTACTTACTCTAATAACACAGAACCAAGTGAAATGGATCTGAACTTTTGCGTTGAAGCAAATTATAAGTTTTCATACAAGCCTTTGCAATCTGTAGAATTTCCCGGGCCTGATTCTAAGACACAAGAGGCCTTCATCTTCTGCATGATCTACAGTGACTGAACAACAAAATTGCTCAGATCACAGCATGTGCCTATTTGTCGCCTCAGAGAAACCAAAAGGGGTCCTCCAGGACGTAATAGCGGGTCCAATCATTAATGACCTATGGTCAACAAGAAAGTTCAGATAAGTCACAATGCTGAGTAACATGCCCAGTTTTATTCTACTAGTCCATTTTTCAATATGCAATCTTCCCTTGAACGGAATGGAGTTGAATGAAACTAACCACACAAGCCAAAGGGATTTTATAGCCAGCCCAGCTTCTACAAAGTCGTTTTTTGAAGTGAAAATATCATCAATCAGATCAAGATAGTTATGCAGAAGCTTTCACAAAGTGTGATAAAGCACTACAGCCAATAAGGCATGATTCATGAAATGCCAGCAAATTAAAGGGAAACATGAGATTTAGACATTCAGGAGAAACAAACAGAACTATCAGTGCATTTCAATTGAAAGTGATAACAGCATGAAGCATATACATGTAAATGTCACATTCCTTAATTTTGCAGTTTATCATTGAGCAAAGGAAGAAGACAGTAAAACTGCAATACCTGGCTTGGGATTTGTCGCTCATAGAACACCGATGAAGGTGGAAATTCAGCATCATAAGAAGGTAGAGAATGGATGTAGATCGAGTACAGCTCTTCATGCCCCTTGAAAAACCTCTCCCAAAGAGGGGCAAACGGCAATGGACCTTTCACCAAGAACATGAACGCAATCTTGGGAACTCTCTTAAATGGATTCGTCTTCATCAGAGGAACAAAAGATGCCCTCCAAAAGAGCTCCTCATCGCTCATGGCATGTAACAAACTTGACGGGGTGCTAAACCTGCTCTCTATGCTAAATGGCTCTTCAGGACAGAGGAAAGGGCTATTCTTATGTACACGTTGATTTTGGACTCCAAAGTACCGTATCGTATTCATGCTTACAATCAACAATCCAAGACCCACAAGCACAAACAACAAGAAATAGTGGAGGAGCCTCCATGGACATGCCCTAGGCTGGTAATTCCTAATTAGAGATGAAGGGTCTTTTTTTTCCTCCACAATCACTGTCCTCTGGTACATTTTGGACTTGACTTCCAGTCAAAATTCAACCAAGAGATCATAAGAAACCTATGAAAATCTATATCCCTTCTCCAAAAGTTCAAGTTTTTGACCCTATAAACAGCCGTCTACAAACAATTAATATCTGCAAAATGTCTTCGGTTCCTCTGTTTACTTCTATATAACCAGAATGGAATCAAAATATATTGTACCGAGACCATTCGACAGATCCTCTCTATTTGTACAAAAGGGTAATTGATTTCTTCAGCTATCAAACCACTAAGATACCAAAACAGAGCATCAGCTCCAAGCAAAACATAATCTATCAGCAACTCGATTATCTCAACTCTCCCCCAATGAGAAAAGAAAAACCCAACAACCGTTTCTGCTAAATCGGAAGCTCCCCGCGCAGAAATGCTCAAATCTGATCATCCGCATCTGGGTGGATCGCGTGTAGCACAAAGACAGGAAAGAAGAGGAAGCGGGAGAGGCACGGCTCATTACCAAATGGGGTTCACCATTAGAGCATCAAGAATGGACCGGCGGTCGTGGAAGCCAAGATCAGCCGCGGTTCTTGAGCAGCCGGAGCGCAGGCAGTTGGGTTGACTGGGAAGGCCATGCCCTGTTGATCGCGGCACGCGTGCTTTCGGGGGTTATGACGTCGAGGGAGGAGGAGGGGCGTGTTTGAAACTTCCAGGGACGTTGTGCTCAAAAGGTCAAGTCAAACGAAGCTGAGAAGAGGAGAGAGAGAGAGAGAGGGGAGAGGAGCATCGGACAGCGAGAAAAGTGGGAGGGTGGTCTAGGACAGGCTGCTTCTCTTTCGGGTTTTTCCATGAATGCTGTCTGATGATCTCAGGAAAATTTTGGGCTTCCATTGGTTCTATCTCCAATGGGCTGTGTGTCTAGTTGTTTGCAGGGAGACTGATTTTTTGTTCCCCTCTCCAAAAGGGCTTTCTTTTATTTTTGGGTTAATAAAAAAAATTTATCCATAATTAATTGTTTGACAATCAAAATTCCCAAGCCGGTATATCCGTGACAAATTTACCTTCCGTCTATTTCCGTTAAATTTTACTGTCAAATTGTTAAGTTTGATGACACGTGACAGTGGATGGGATTTATGAATTTGAGATTTTACCCTCCATTTATCACATATGTATTTTCGTGGTACAAATTTATTTTAATGGAAACTAACAAATAATAAATTTATAATAAATAAATCAGTTTTGGGTTATTGATAGTTAAAATATTAGTTTCGATAGCTTTGTCACGGGTAAAGGTGGTAAATGGGTCAAGAACTCATATATTAATCCATATTTAATGATTGTGAATTATAAATGAGTTATCATTAGTTTTAAATGTAGACTTACATAGGTCATTAATGGATCGCCTATTAACTTAATGGGAATTAAATGGGTTACAAATGGATTACCCAACAAACTTAAGTGAATAATAAACATGTCACTTTCAAATTTTTTTTAATTTTCTGACTTTTATTTTTTTATATTAATTTTCTTTTCTTTTCTTTTTCTTAAATTATTCATTTTTTGCTGGATAAATCGGAAATGCCCAACGGCCTCCTTCTAAACGGGCTTCGCATTTTCCTGGCGTGTGAACTACCGAAAATGCCCTCTATCCCCCTCTCCTTCCTCCCTTCCTCCTCAAACCGTCGTCCCTCCGTAAAAACAGAACATTTCGCAGTCTCTCTCACCACCGCATTCCACTCAATGCCGCCGACCGCAGCGGCCGCCGCCGCCATCCCCGCTCGCTCCTTCAAGTTCATCACGACCTCTCTCTCCCCTCGCCCCCTCCTCCGTCTCCGCCGCCTCCGCTTCGCTACCGCCGCCGCCGCCGCCCCCGCCGCCGCCCCCTCCTTCGAAGACCCCACTCCTCCGCCGCAACAGCAAGCCGGCTCCACTTCCTACTTCCCCAAGAGGAACCAGACCCTCGAATTGGAGTGCGAGAGCTTGGCCTACAAGGGCAAGGGCGTCTGCAAGGCCTCCGGCACCGGCTTCGTCCTCCTCTGCGACCGCGCCCTCCCCGGCGAGCGCTTCGTCGGCCGCGTCACCCGCAAGAAGGGCAATTACGCCGAGGTTTGTTTGCTTGTTTCTGAGCTCGCTAGATTCAACTTGGAAAGTTTTGCGAAGTTCTACCTTCTTCACGTGCCGTGTCTGGAAACGTGCAGGTGACTAAGTTGAGGACGATATCTCCGCACTGGGACATCGTGGATGCCCCCTGTGAGTATGCTTCGTACTGCGGAGGTTGCAAGACGCAAAGCTTGTCGTACGAGGCTCAGGTCAGAGCCAAGGAGCAACAGGTCCGAGAGTTGATCGTTCATGTCGGGAAATTTCCCAGTAATGATCCGGAGTTCCCCGCAATGATGAAGCCCATTGTTCCCTGCGATGTTCAATTCCACTATAGGAACAAGGTTGGTAGTAGATGTTGCACCCTTCTTGTCGCTTGTCATAATGCTGGACATGTTCTGTGACTTATTGGCATCTAAATTCAAATTAGTGTTTAACTAATGGATAAAGTAACAGCTTGCTTTGAAAAGAACTGTAAAGGTTGTCTGAGTTTTGTGTTAAGAAAAAAATTTGTTGGACCGCAACAGCAACCGTATAAGCCCATCCAATGATTGGAAATTGTTTCTCAAGCTGTAACTTTCATGAAATTGGGATTCCTTGCTTGTGACTTGTCCTAATTTTCCCATCTATTGGGAGCTGTGGTCTGCTGATGCAACCTTTAATTCGACTTCAATGATCATAATGCCATGCTCTGTTGGTGTGTGTGTAATTTTCAAACCATAACAATGTTGTTGGGCGGCACAGTTATTCTTTTCTAATACGAAGTTTATGGGCTCCAAGTTTTGGCATAAAGTTAGTGCGCCATGTGCGCAATATCATTATCTTGATCACTTAAAACTGTGAAAAACCTTGTTCCATGTCTGAGTGAATCTTTGTTCTTTCCGTGATCTTCTGATTGTGCTATTACTTTTTACTTTTACAGATGGAATTTTCATTTGGCTCTCAAAGATGGTTGCCACGTGAGTTGTTTGAAGAGAATCGCGATGATACTGATAAACATGCTTTGGGACTGCATGCACCTGGCTTCTTTGATAAGGTCCTGAATGTCAACAAGTGCTTACTACAAAGTGACCCTGCTAACAAGGTATGCTACAAAGATGGTTGAAACTTAAAATGGATTTTTTATATGATTAATCATTATTGTTGAATCAAATATAAAGTGAGAAGAAGCCACAGCATACTTTAGAAAGGGCAAATTAAATTCACTTACAACTCTAGCCAGAAGGGACTTGTCAGCTCTACACTTAATGAGACATTTACATGAATTTATAACAACTCTTATCCGACAAAAAACATTCAACACCTTGCAATTTATATCCTTTCTATGCTCGTCTAGGGGCAAATTTTCTTTTCCAAGTAGTTGCCTAGATATAAGTTTACAGTTGCTGCATCTCTCTTGTGATTGAGCTCCTACTTTAATAATTGCTTTTCATGTGGTTATTTGCTTTGAACTGTTGAGATTCGTTTTGTTGATTAAACAAACAAAATTTAAGAACTCTTTATTTAATGCTCAAAGACAACTTTTCCTTTTTGTATTTCTGCTTGTAGGTTCTTGCAGCTATACAAGAGTGCTGGAGAGATCCCCAACTAGGTTTGTCTCCTTATGATGTCCACTCTCATGCTGGATTTCTCAAGCATCTAATGCTTAGAACTGGGAGGTAGGGGCTGTGGTGTAAAAGCTTTTTCACTTGTGATAGTTTGTGACCAGGATCTAAGCATGCCATAGTTAGTTGTTTAAGATAATTGTTTTACAGTCAATTGACTATGAATGATGAGATTGCCAATAAAGAAATCGGGAGAGCACAAACTGTCCAAGCTTTACCTGCATTCTCAGTTAGATTGAGGCATGATACCCTTTTTCGTTGTTGGGAGATCAAATGCTCTCTTTCGCATCCAAGGAACAGCTCTTAGAGATGTTTTTCCTTTTGGAAGATAGAGGAGTGATACGATCAGTTTGCTTGCAACCCTAATTTTACATTTCCTTTCCCAATTATTCTTCTTCTATTAGCTGACAATCAATTAATGCAATGACTTCTCATGAAGTTTCTCTTTTCTGTTTATGGGTGGGTGTGGACAATAGCTTTTCTTCCATTATCTAGTTATTCAGATAGCTGCATGCCATGGAATCCAGTTAAGCGCAAAAGTTGGTTCTAGTTTCCACAGAAATGCATCTGCAATTCGGTGAATTTGTCTGAATTATATTTATCATAAAGTTTTTCAAAACTCTCCTTGTGTTTGGATCCTATCTGTATGGTAATTTGTTTTGGTTTCCCTATCTTTATTAGCTTTCATGTATCTTCAGGGACATTGAGACTGGTCAGCCGGAGGTCATGGTTAATTTTGTGACGTCATCTTACAAGCCTGAGTTGCTTAAACCCTTAGTAGAGAAAATTTCATCTTTCCCTGAAGTGGTTTGTCAGCGAACTCTTCTATGCTAATTTTTTTTGGGTCATATTTCTATGCTAATCTAATGAGCACATTTCATGGTTCTTTTATTAGGTTGAGTAGAGGAACTTTCCAACATTAGGTGAATTATGTTTAGAGTGTTTAGAGCATCCAGTTTGCTAAAAACCATGGCCAACACACTGGATAAACATCTCCTATCAGGTGGTCAGTTTTGATCAGATAACAAAATTATTCCTAAACAATTGTATCCAGTGATAATGGTTGAACATATTTCTGTCGTTGGATTTCTTTACTTTGAATGGACTGGATTTTCTTTTTCAGTCATGTAGAAGAAGTTCAAAGAGATCAACTAATTCATGTTATTTAAAATACTTAAATAGTATGCTAAACTGAATTAGTGGCAGAGTAGCCTGTTGAAAGCAAGAGTCAACATTCCTCTGCATTCTTTCTTTTTCATTGTAAATATTAGGCTAGAACAGCATTCAGTGGCCCTTCCTCTGGCGCCAAGTTTTCTGTTTAACGGTCTATGCAATTTGTTTTAAGATTATTAATACAAGCCAGTTTATACTTTTAAAATGGCAGGTAAGTGTTGTTAACAATGTGAATACTTCGGTGGGTAATACATCTGCTGGAGAGGAGGAACACACTTTGTATGGGAAATCTACCATCACAGAGACATTGAGAGGGCTTACTTTTCAAATTTCTGCCAATTCCTTTTTCCAAACAAATACTTGGCAGGTATCAACACATGATCAATTCAGTGTTTTGCTAACTAGCTTCCATTTCTCTTGTAAAAGTCTTTTGTGTTTTTTTCTTGTTCTCTTTGAAAATCGCTAAGACTTGGTGCACTTCAGGCTGAGGTTCTATATAAACTTATTGAGGAGTGTGCGGGTCTTAGAGGAAATGGCTCAGAAATTGTGCTAGACCTATTCTGTGGAACAGGCACCATTGGTCTGACACTTGCCAGAAGGTACAGATATTTGTCCATTGTGATAATTATGTAAAAGAACTTGACCAATCTGAGACTGTCTTTTTCAGGGTTAGACATGTTTATGGTTATGAGGTTGTTGCTCAGGCCATCTCTGACGCTTGTCTGAATGCCAAGCTCAATGGTATCAGCAACGCAACATTTATCCAAGGAGATCTCAATAAAATCGACAAAAATTTTGGCAGCAACTTCCCTAAACCGGATATTGTCATTTCAGGTATCTCTTCTTAATTTTTACAATCGAGTTTTTGTTGGTTGGTTTAACAATGGTTCTACATCTACAATTTCTTTTTGGTGTTTGTGTTCTCTGCAAACAAGTAGTATCTTCTTGGATAATGTTTGTGGGTATATAAACTTCACTAGCTAAGCAGAGCTTCTCTGTAAGTACACATAATTCTTCTCCCACTGTTTTACTGTGATCAATACTGCAGATCCAAATCGGCCAGGCATGCACCTGAAGTTGATTAAGTTTCTGCTGAAGCTCAAGGCTCAGCGAATTATTTATGTATCTTGTAATCCAGCTACTTGTGCACGCGACCTCGAGTACCTTTGTCATGGGGTGGTATGTATCGAGTCCGTCCCACTAGCTGCTCTTTTTCTTAGCTGTCTATCGCTTAATCCTGTGTCTTTTCAGAGAGAGCAAAACATAGAAGGGTGCTACAAATTAAAAAGTGTACAGCCAGTAGACATGTTCCCACACACTCCTCACATCGAGTGTGTGTGCCTACTAGAGCTCTGTTGATCCAAGGTTGTTGGTGTTCTCTCAACTGCAAAACTACAAAGATCTCTCGCAGCAAGTATGTTCTCCAGGAGACGACCCTGGTTTTCTCTGTACCATCTTTTCAGAAGAAGTATATTTCCTTCTTCAGGAAATGCAGATTTTCAATTCGTCTTAACAAAACTGTTTGAGAACTAAGTTGGAGGACATTGGTGGGTGCGCTTTGCAGATGTGGATGTAGTATACTGGCCCCAGAGAAATCTTCACTTCTCTAAATGGTACCACTGGTGCAATTGGTTTGGGAGGAGAGATAGTCAATGAAGAACCTGATGGTCATCAGACGACACCACAAATGGGGAGCAGCCATTTTCCTTCTAAAGGCTTTAGAAAAGCATCCTTTCTCCGCAGTCTTAATTCGGCGGAGCCAAATATACCAAGAGAGATGCAGAGAATCCTGAGAAGTACGTGTCTAGACCGGAATACTATGATTTACAGATCAGCGAGCACACCTCTGGTGCATATGGAGTCCATTCTTATCACGGGTGTCCTGGATTTTCATCTACAGTATGCCTCTCCTGACCAGGAAGAGGACATATACAGACGCAACAAGTCTTATGGGATCTTCAATTGAAACAACTGCAACCACCAAGTTTGGATTACTCGAGTTATAGAAGATTGTTACTAATCCAGCAATTTATTAATAGCTTCTCTCTAGTATTACCCTGGAATTAAGCATCAATTTTGGACCCTTCTTGGGGAGCGTTCCAAGCCCACTTTTGATCTGTCGATTCTCGAGAATCTCTCAATAAGGATGTTCTCTTTTAATATCTTATTCAATTTCTTATTGTGCTCAAGGTGATTTAACTATCTGTTGACTGCTTAATTAAAGGATGAAAAATCTGACATCCATGTGGCCATTAGAATGAGGTTATACGCTAATGGAAATCACGTCCCCCCTTTAATCTCATCTACTAGAAGGAAACCAAATGAGCGCGGAAAGCCCATCTTGGACGTTAATTGCTTTTCATGTGCAGAACAAGTATTGATGGCTGCTATTCCCATTCCAATTCCACTTACGCTTAGAGAAACACTGTACCCTGGAGTAACTAGAACCCGACTCCATCTTTTCGAAGGAATATTGGATACTATATGATAGGAGAATTCGAGGTGAGGACACTCGATACATCTAAGGATTCTCATTTTCTCAATTCCAAGAAATCTGTTCTGCACTGGCAAATGCAAGCCCTGTCGGAAATTTTTACCCGTCGGGTGATTTTATTGATAATCACCGTGACTACGCTGAGCAGTGGGGCTCGCTCTAATGAGGCTCCTTGTATCAGATAAGAGGGACAGATCTTGGTGTATGCCTGTAAGGAGCAGTAAAAACCATCGAGGTCATTCTTAACACTGCCTGTTGCTACTCCACATTTCTCTTTTTCGACTTTCTTTTATCTTGGATGAACTATCGGAAATGAAGGACTAAGATTGTGAGATCATCCTGCAGAGTCGTGAAGATGGCGAAGCGATCGATTGTATTGATATCTTCAAGCAACCCACCTTTAATCATCCACTTCTCAAGAATCGCACAATCCGGGTTCTTTTTCCTCCTCATTTTGGCCCATTTCATTCGCTAGTATCAGCTGAGTTACTAGTCAAAACTTTTGCTAGAGAGGGTAGTTCTAATTTATCAGGTTGTCAATGAAACTTGGAATGTTTTACACAGGGCCTGTGGTACTCGTCCTTTCTCAGGCATTTTTACCGAGTTTACTGAACAAAAGTTGAAGCTCGCACATTTTTGGCTATAGATGAAACCAAGCTTACATCTGAAATTAAAATGGAGCAGAACATTTAGGAGGTCGCTCTTCGTTAGGCTTGGCGGAAATATGGAGAATGCCCCGAAGAGACATTTCCCATCAGAAGGAGACCGCGAAAGTACCAACGGTCATGGAGTCATACCATTTGCTCCCCAAGTGAAGAGACATTCTCAGAGCCAGTATGAATTCAGTGCTGCTCCCGGACATGAAGTACTTGCAATCCAGACGCAACTAAGACTACCATCACATTGATTTTGAGTTTGCTTTTATAGTTACATGTTTACACAGCCTTCAATGCACACCCTAGTGAGTCTGCTGTATATGGGATGGTACGCTGTTGTTTCTGTGACCAATGGCAACAACTTTGGAGCAAATGCATCAGTTAAATGTGTGGAAACCCAAGGTAGAAGATTCGGAACATAGTTTCTCCCAAATTTGGCTTTCATCTGGCCATGGAGATGATGCAAATACTCTTGAGGCCGGATGGACGGTAAAATCATGTATTGATAATATCTTATACAAGCAATTCATGGCATAATTAGCACTCTGAACGTGTGTGTGAAGGTGAGTAACTTTCTTTTTTCTCTCTCTTCTTTTATTTGTTCCAGGTAGATACAGGTTCTAGTTTCGGCAGACGGACAAGGGCTTTCGTATATTGGACCGCGAGTTCTTAATAGTTTTGAAACTCACAACTTGCAAGATTCAGGACCAAAACTTAACATGTCTATTTTGGATGGATTTTCTAGGCTGATGACTATCAAGGCACCGGTTGTTACAATATTGAGCGTCCTGGGTTTCGTGCAAGTCGATCGTAACGTCGCTCTCTAGGATCTCTTATTCAACCTATCTCAATCTACAGTGGACAGCAACATGACATATATGTATCGATAATCAAGGTGATGAGAAGTTGAGAACCGTTTTTCAGGCGACATAAAGCAACCTCGAGGCTGAAATGCATAGCCTATTCCTGACTGTGTCTCCATTTCCTTCTGCTCGCCAGAACTTATCTATTCAAAAGAAACACATGCACGTACTTTCAGTCTTCTATCTCTTGATGCAAAAGACGAAAAAATTCAGAATCAAGACAGTGGGGATTGGCGGCCGCGCATCGCGAATGTCGATTTGGATACCGGCCCGGAGAAATATTCACTTCTCTAGATGGAGGCGCTTCCGAAATACTTGTGGGGGTGGAGAGATAATCGATACAGAACCAGATGGTCACCGTTACAGCGACGCAAAATGGGCAGCGGCCATTTTCCCTTCCGAAGGCTTCGGGAAGGCGCCCTTCTTCCCCGCGATCTTAAGTTCATCGATGCCGGTTTCGACGAGAGAGAGATGCGGAGAATGTCACGAAGTACGCGACGAGGTCCTAATGCTACGGATTTACACATCAATGAGGACCGAGTCTGGTGCGTATAGTGTCCATTTCTACTACGGGGTACCGGATTTTCCGTCCCTGGTGTCCGAAATCGCGCGCTTGTGATGATACCGTTATATCAACCACCCTCCTGATCCAGCCCGATTGGATCGGGGCCCAACTGTGTCGAACCGTGCAAGGCGATGCCGTATCGCCACCGTCTTCTCTTCTCGCTCCTCCGGGAGCGCTCCAACCCCTGCAAAGACGAGGGGTGTGTGACGAGGCGATGTAGCTCGGCCAGGGCTAGGACGGCGCTCGTCCCCCCTGGGCTCTCCTCGTCCGTCTCCCTCCACCACAGCCTCCGCCTCTGCTGCCTTCCGCCGGTACACGCGCCTCACCAGTCTCCCAGGCTTATCAGGTCCCGAACTCCGCTCTGGCGAGTCCTGTTCTCAAGAGCTACAATGGCTTGGTCGCCGTCAGGGCCTTTGGACCAAGCCAAGCCGCCTAGATCACTCCGAGGAGGGTGATGTGAGAGCACGACGACACAGTTAAGGATTCTTACTTCTCTGTTCGGCGGGAAAATGAACGGAACAGGTCAGTGTTCTTTCTTTGGATGTCGGAAGTTATTACCGGAAATAGACTGTGAGTTCATCTTCAGGAGCATGCTTGGCTGTTTAAAAATTTGGGGTTATTCCTACTACTTCTCTCGCGTTACATTAATTCAGGGAGCTGTTGTTGATTCGTAGCGATCCCATGTTTCAATGGAATTGTTTCGTAATAATCTGTTCCCGCTAATTTGTGCAGCGCGGGTAGATATAATCGTCATTGATTTCTCGGAGAAGCTCCCCCTCCCCCTTGCGCTTGAAGTGAAGCTCTCCAACCATTGTTAAAACTACTATTGAGGTCTGTTCCCTAGTTTTTCTTACGCGGCCATCAAGTGACGTTTAGACGGCCACTCCAAAAATGAGTAATTTCCCACTCGTGTGAAACTCGACCTGTTTATGTTTCCATCTTCGGAAGGGAAAGGATAAGTCCCTGATGCCTATCTCCTTTCTCCTTTCGATTACCAATTTTCTGAACATTTCTTTTCACGTGCAAAGTCTTTTTGCGATTTACATTCATATTTTCTAAAAGAAGAATATTCTTCATAGTGGTAATGGTAATTCACACGGACTATTAATGAAGGTTATATCGATCCTGTGTTTCAATGGAATTGTTTCGTAATAGTCCGTTCCCGTAATTTACGTAGATAGCTATAATCTAGGTAGCACCAACACGTTCTGGAGGCCGCCATGCTGGCATCCGACACTGACACGCGTTCGACACGCGTTCGACACGAGTCCGACACATGTCCGACACGAGTCCGGCACGAGTCCGGCACGCATCCGACACGAGTCTGACACGAGTACGACACGCTTAGATACACGATCAACAGGTGTCGGACATCCAACAAGCAGTCAACGCAGACATGCCGGTGACACGCGAGTCTAGAGCAAAAGGCACCTTCTTGGGAGCTAAAGCAACAATTAATGTGTGGAATCCTACCGTCATGGCTCCAGCAGTCAGTTTCTCTCAAATTTGGCTCAAAGCAGATCCCTGAGAGAGTTTGAACACCGTGGAGGCCGGATGGTTGGTAAGAACTTACATTGATCGAACCTGAAGATTTTAGCATGATTGACATTTTAAATGTGTGTAGATATAGAAGATAAGTGATTTGTGTTTTTATTATAGGTCGATACTAGTCCCCGCAATCAGGCAAGGATTTTCATATATTGGACCGTGAGTTCTTAACCCTTTTGAGCGCTTACAATTCACCAAACTTTTACAAACATATCAAACACTGACATGCTTTTCTTGGGTGAACTTTAGAGAGATGGCTATCAGTATACTGGCTGCTACGATCTCAAATGCGACGGTTTCAGACTACTAGAAGGCAGCAGATTTAAACCAGGCTCTCTACTTATACCAGTTTCCACCTATGGTGGACAGCAATAGGACATAACTATAGCCATAAAGAAGGTAATGGAACAATCTCTTAGGTAAATATACATGGGATATTTTCTGAATCTTCTGTCTTCTGAAAAAAAAAAATTATATTTCAGGATCAAGCTACTAGAGATTGGTGGCTGCACATTCAGGACAAGAAGGTAGGATACTGGCCCAAAAATCTCCACTTATCTAAGTGGCCACGCCAATGCAATTCACTAGGGCGGAGAGATAGTCAACGAAGAACAGGATCATCGTCATACGTTAACACAAATGGGGAGCGGCCATTTCCCTTTTGAAGGCTATCGAAAGGCATCCTATTTCCGTGGTCTTAAATTCGTTGACGACAAATTCAATGAGAGAGACTCGGAGAATCTCAAGGTGCATGTGACTAAACCTACATGTTATGACTTACTGCTCAATGTGGACCCGCTCGAGGAAGTTGGAGTCAATTTCTATAATGGGGGCCCTGGATTTTCAGCTCAGTGTTAAAAATAGTGATCATATCACGACATGCTTTCCCTTTTCTTTTCGTACCCTAATAAAAAATGGCTATGTCAAATGTTTAGCACTAGCAGTGAGGACACCCCGGGGGGTTTGAAAGGAAGTACTGCTAGATGTGGTTTGATGTACAAAACGTTGTTAAAGTCGCTTATGAACTGGTAATCATTTTGAAAAAGGGAGTATTTGGCCATAATCACACTTTTCGA